TTGTATGACGAGATAAACGCACTAGCGACAGCCTTAAAGGGCGAAGCCTATACGAAATAGAACTGTACTTTGACATGCTGCTCTTAAATAGGTCACGTTGAGAAAACAAACTGTATGTTGAATCCAACAATGTTCAGTCAGGTCATCTGGATGGTTTATTTTTTGTTGAGACATTTGGTCCTTCATCCAAAGGTCTTCTTCAATCTGAGGAGCCACCAAACAAACTGAGTCCCACAAACAGCATACTCCCATAGTAAAAAAAAAAAAAAGTTTACTGGTGATAAGATGGCCTCATGAACTTAGGTGTTTTGAACCACTTTTTGCATGGCTGCCTCAGAGGAGTTGACAGGGGAGAGGGTAGGTCCAGGAGGCCATCTTATCACCAGCAAACTATTTTTTTTTCCCCACTATGGGAGTGTGCTGTTTGTGGGACTCAGTTTGTTGGGGGCTCCTCAAATTGAAAAAATCCTTTGGATGAAGGACGAAATGTCTCAGCAAAAAAGGAAATCGTCCATGACCTGAATGAACAATGTTAGATTTTTACCTGGATTACTGAGCAGAACTTTGGTGTATGTTGAATGTTAAAAATTGTGAGAATATTTTTCTATAATCATTTTTTTCTTGGCTTTTAATTTTTTTTTCTTCCAGGTTGCTGTTGTAACACTGTCAGCCTTTTCGATGTATGTGACCTTTCTGTTGTCCACTTTTAGCACTGAACTTTTCTGCAGACTCACCAATGCTGCTAAAATCCCACTTTGTAAAATAAATCCACCTGATTTAGTTTTGCTTTTGGGAGGCCAGAGTAAAATAAGAAATCCTGAACCATCTGCAGGTGTTGGGGACAATAAAACATATTTCATGGTGCAAAATGTAGTTGTAAAAATCATTAAAAAAAACAGGCAAGTGTGGCTGTTTTTGTGCTTTGTCACATTTTCTTTTATTTTTCTCTCTTTCTAAATAGTTTTTTGTCTTTTCATAATTAAGCTACCAACCAATTCAAACTGGCCCCACAACACGAAATGGCATCTTAGTGATATTCACAGATAATGAGGTAAAATTTTGACCTTTGTTGGATTTTACTGAACTGCATCACAGATCAAATAAACCCCATCCTTTCTAGTCAGCATGGAGACAAATGTCCTCATTGCCTAGTAAACAAAAAAGGGTTTTTATCGGTCTGTCAAATAAAACACATAACTCTCACAGATCTGAATCATTTGGAGAGGTAAAATTAATAAATCATGGCAGGTAACCTGACAGGATCAAAAGTTCTTGCACATACTGTGAGAAAAACAACTGTCTACCTGGCCTGGGATGGAAACTGCTGCCATATTTATTTCAATTATGCAGTTCATTATTAAAGAAGGCAAACAGAACATACATTTTGGCAAGATAGTATAAATTGTATTGTTCTCTTAAAAATGATTTGTTTCCTGGATTGTTTGTCTTTTCATGTACTACAGGTCTCTCTTGAAAATGAGTCCTCAGTGAGACTAACCTGCATAAATAAAGGTTGAATGAAAAAAAAAAACTGCTAGCAGAGCATTGTGCATAATGTTATTTTCCAGGTTTGACTTAAACAACTATAACTCGTTTAATTTTTCAACATAAGATGGTCTTAGTTTTAATCTCTGGCATGAGAAATGGTGGATGATGTGCAATGCATATCACCATTTAAAGATATTCAGTGTTTTTACTCTCCACAACTGATTAACCCCGAGTAATTCCCATGTTGAAACTTCCGTGGAAGTGTAAGGCTGTTTTAGTCTTTTCTGGAAATAAAAGTTTTTTTTTCTTTTTTGCAGTATTTTACACTATTTCTTTTCTATTTAAATCTGACGGCCACATTTTTTGTGTCTGTTGGAGGCCCATTTTGCACTCAGAGGGGAGAAACTAAGTAGTAAGATTTTAACACAAGTGCCACAATCTCTGCTGCTACTTTTATTGTTATTTCCAACAATTTTACATTGCATTTCACTGATGAATAAAATTTGTTTTTCTTCCTATGTCTGACAGAGAAAAGCAGAAATTTAAAATGTGACACACGTGTGAATGAGCTTTATTTCAAGGACTGTAAAATGTGAACATTACCGTATATTTCGCCCTATATGTCGTGTTTTTTTTTTTAACATAATTTACACACCCTGTGACTTATATGCAGAAGCGACATATTTTTTGATTTTTTTTCCCATATTTATAAACCAATTTTTGGCTGAGATATGACTGTTTTCGTTCATCTAGACGGAAAATATTGAACACTAACATTTTCAGCTGCTAGATGGCACTCGAGTAGTATGGCATGCCGTTATATCATGTAATAGGTAAAAGTGGCTATTAATGACACAATCGGCTTGCCACCTTCGTTCTGCTCGCTTAGAGCAACCATCAAATCAGCTTTATTTTGCTACACCACCCTGGCAAAATGTAGCTAATTAGACAATTAAAATGCATTTACTAAGTAAAAGTTCAACTGAGACACACCTTTGCTATGATGTCGAGCAAACAAATAATTGTTTTAGGTGCTTATCTTGTTTAATTTTGAAGAAATTCACAGCGTTCTTCGTTCTTTTTTTCCTCCCTGTCTGTGCATTCCCGGAGCACCGAGGCAGCGAATACTTTGAAATGCAGCTGATTTGACCGTTAAAGTCCTTTTATTATTATTTATCAAAAATTCTAGAGAAAATAGTTGCAGGTCAGTTGCGTGAACATCTACAAAGAAATAATCTGTTTGAAGAGTTTCAGTCAAGGTTTAGAGCTTATCACAGTACAGAAACAGCACTAGTAAAAGTAACTAATGATATTCTCATGGCCTCAGCCAATGGACTTGTGTCTATACTGGTCCTGTTAGATCTCAGTGCTGCATTTGATACGGTTGATCACAATATTTTACTACAGAGGCTTGAATATGATATTGGGATTACAGGAACAGCTCTAAAGTGGTTTAAATCATATCGATCTGATAGATTCCAGTTTGTAAATGTAAATAATGAATCTTCTTCATAAACCAAAGTTAGTCATGGAGTTCCTCAGGGCTCAGTGCTTGGGTCAATACTATTTACTTTATATATGCTTCCATTAGGTAAAGTTATTAAACAGCATGGGATAAATTTTCATTGTTATGCTGATGACACACAATTATATTTGTCCATTAAACCCAATGAATACAATCAGCTACTTAGACTACAAGCATGTCATAAAGACATAAAAACCTGGATGACCCTTAATTTTCTCTTGTTGAACACAGACAAGACTGAGGTTTTGGTTTTTGGACCTGAGCACCTTAGGAATGAAATGTTCAGTCTTTCTCCCTCCTTAGATGGCATTAATCTGTCCTCCAGCTCTAATGTTAAAAATCTTGGTGTTATTTTTGATCTGGACATGTCTTTTATCCCCCACATTAAAAACGTTACTAGAACTGCCTTCTTCCATCTGCGTAATATTGCTAAAATTAGAAACATCTTATCTAAAAATGATGCAGAAAAACTGGTCCATGCATTTGTCACGTCTAGACTGGACTATTGCAATGGTTTATTATCTGGATGTCCAAATACTTCCTTAAAAAGTGTTCAGTTGATCGAAAATGCTGCTGCCAGAATCTTAACTGGAGTTAGTAGGAAATATCATATCTCTCCAGTTTTAGTTTCTCTCCATTGGCTCCCTGTCAAATCTATAATAGAATTCAAAATCTTACTTCTAACCTACAAAGCTCTCAACAACCTGGCTCCATCTTATATTACAGATCTTATTGTTCCATATTTTCCTAACAGAGCACTTCGCTCTCAGACTGCACTTGTGGTTCCTAGAATTTACAAAAACAGAATGGGAGGCAAATCTTTCAGTTATCAGGCTCCTCTCTTGTGGAACCAACATCCAATCTCTGTTTGTGAGGCTGACACATTATCCAGTTTTAAAACTAGGCTTAAGACTTTCCTTTTTGCTAAATCCTATAGTTATGGTTGGCTTGGGTTCCCTGAGCTGTCCCTTAGTTATGCTGCTATAGGTTTAAACTGCTGGAGGACAAACTGACCACAATTTTCACTCTGCTACTGTCTTTACTTACTCTGCTCAACCTGTTTTGTATTTGTAATTGTTTTTTCTATCCTTAACATGTGTTTTTTTGTCTTTCAGATACACCTGGACCTATACCTGGACCTACCATTCTGTGTTCGTCTGTCTGTCCTTCCTGTCCTCTCAACCAGCCGGTCAAAGCAGATGGCCGCTTGTCCTGAGCCTGGTTCTGCTGGAGGTTTCTTCCTTTTAAAAAGGAGTTTTTCCTTTCCACTGTTGCCACTGTGTTTGGTCAGGATGGGAGACTGCAACGAAGCCAAGATTCAACTTGTCTGCTGGATTCCTTAGATAGAGAACTTTACTAATTGGCTTTTATGTATGTGAATGTTACTGTAAAGTGCCCTGAGACAACTTTGTTGTGATTTGGCACTATATAAATAAACTGAATTGAATTGAATTAAGCTAAAGTTAGACAGAGACACACCTTTACTATAAAGTCGAGCAAACAAATAAATTTTTTTAATGTGTTTATCTTGTTAAATTTCGAGGAAATGCACAAAGAGTCCCTCTCTGCACGTTCATGTTTCCGTGTATCGGCTTTTGAAATTTAGCTGATTTGACCATCAAAGTGCATTTATTAAGGAAACGTTAAACTGAGACACACCTTTACTATAATTTCAAGCAAACAAATAATTGTTTTTGAGTGTTAAACTTGTTAAAGTCCTCCTGTGCACACTCCCACGGCTGCCATTTGGCAGCCAATCGATTTTTGGCACAACACCGGCCCACATTTCCGGGTTGTCAGCAGTGACACATAATAAATGCAATGTATACAGCGAAGCGATGTATTCATGGATTTTTCCACTTTATCAGGCATATTTGGACTGATGCGACTTGTAGGGCGATGTGACGTTTATGGCAGAAAATACAGTAATGCACAGAGACACGTATATACACCCACATATACAGCTACTTGTTTCAGAGCTTCCTACCATCATAGGTCCCACTCTCCAGCAGAAGTCCACTCTCTTCCAGGATCCTGAAGTCACCAACGCTGATGAAGTTGTAATCCACACCAGGCACTTCACCATCTCGAGGACGCCGTGTGGTGCCTAGAAAAACACAAAAACATATAAAGTTAACATCAATGATTCCAAAATGCTTCAGACAAGAAACCGATTTAAATAAGACATTTAAATGTTGCAGTTACATTTAAATATTAATTTGTGATTTTTTTTTAATGTTGCTTATTTTCATTGGGTCAAGTTCAAGTTCCTTTATTGTCATTCACATCACATGTGGTATATGAGGTGGAACAAAGTTGTGTACACAGGGTCCCACTTGTATCCAAAAATGGCAAAATTATAAAGTATAGAAGGGACAGTATACAAGGATCTAAGATATACAGTAAGATATACGCTAAACAATCACTAAACAATACACTAAAAGATCTAAGACACGTGCTAAACACTAATAATGTAAAATAATATTGTATATTAAACAGCAGCCTGAACATGAGTCTGTAGTGAGCAGATGGGTATGAATGAATACAGCAGCATGGACATTCAGCAGCAGACAGTCAGCAGGTTCCATATAAAATAAAAATTCTGGCATTTATTGTGGAAATGCAAACCACCCACTGCCTTTTATATGAATGTTTGAGTTCAAGATGGCCAACACAGCAATCTGCCACAGCCATTTCTGAGAGATGAGGTTGTGCTTGGAGTGTGAGTTGAAGATGACTCTCAGCTACCAACACAAACTTTACCTCATTATCTGTAAATTTAAATTAGTTACATGAAAGTTTTGAATTTGCTAAGTTTGATGAGCTGTGGCAGCCATCTTGATTTCGGTTGACTCGCAAAGTTAATCACTTTAAGAGCTACATCTATCGATTATATTCTGAAAGTTTCATTAAAATCTACTCAATGGTTGATGAGATATTTTGCTTACAGTGCTGTGCCAAAAACACATGTACAGAGGTGTGAGGAAAAACATTTTTCACCTTTGGTGGCGAGTGATAAAATAAATCAGCTAAGACTCAGACACCTTTAGTGTTTATACATCATGGCGAAACAAGCATTTTTTTTGTTTACCTGTCTGTCACTGCAGTGACATGGTGTGGAAAGACTCATTTTGTGAAGGAAGTGGATCAACATGTAAATACTAAGTTTGATTTCATGCTTGACATCTTTTTTTGTAAACCTTAGAAATTTCACAATCTGGATTCCCAAGAAAAGACACGTATCTTGTAAGAAAAACATTTTTTCAGGGGAGGGGCGATTACATTATTTTGGACAGAAATCCTAAAAGACCTTGGTGCCATCTTGTTAAAAATAAATAGCTGATGAAAGCTCGCGCTGCACCAAGAGACCCAATTCATTTAATCTTGTGTGAGTAACTGCAGCTTGTGCTAACAAGTTATCACTGGGAGCCTCGTGATGTGTGTAGCAGCAGCTAAAATCAGAATACAGCCGAGTTAATTATAGATATGAATTATGATGGAAGTAATGAGTTGTGTAACCTCCTGGTGTGATTTAGGTTTACTCAGAACCACAGAGTGGAACCTGAATGCAATTGACATGAGAGCGTTCTGGGAGAAGCTTTTGCTTCTGTGGTGATGTTACAGTCTACCTCAGCATTGATGGGGGAGGGAGTTTTGCAGCAGAATTGGTCTCTGTATCGTAGAAACGAAAATAAATCATTATATTAGCATTAAGATTACGATAACCTGAAGTTAAAATGGTCAAACTCCATTTACTGTTTTTGGGGGGAGGGGGGTGGGGGAGGAAGGTAGTTAGGGAAATCCTACAGAGATCAAGTTGTGTTTATTTGTCATATGCAAGGTTAACACAGGGTTAACAGTACAATGATTGCTCAGGATGTGAAGAACTAATTTGACTCGCTAAAAAAAATTCAAAGAACAAACAAACAAGAAATACTAAAGCATGCAATAAGGGTACAAAAATAAAGTACCGAAAAGTGAAAAAGTAATTATAATATTTACAACGTTCAACAGAGAGATAGTAAACAACAACATGGTGGAATATAGCAGTGCAAGCATTTAAATGAATAAGTAAGACATAAATACAAGCTAAAATACACACACACACACACATATACATATATATATATATAGCACATAAGTGGTGTGCACCAAACAATTCACTTACCCAAACCAAATGTCTTGAAACTATAACTACATGTCTGACTATATATAAAAACCACAAAATAATCCTGATAATGTCAAACATAAACTCGGTGGGGATAAGATTTCTTATCTAAGCAATAAGGGCAGCGCTTCTTAGAAGCTGCAGCCCCCTGTACACTTCTGTCCATCTTTAGGACGGCTGTACGAAATGTAATTTCGTTGTACTTCACTGTGCAATGACAATAAAGCCTATTCTTCTGTGTAGAACATCTGTAAAAACTTTCCAGATATAAATGGTAGATGGACTGTACTTTTATAGCAACTTTCTATCTTATCAAGACACTCAAAGCACTTTACATCACAATCTGTGTCCTCATTTACCCATTCATACAGCACTCTGCTAGATCTATACAAAGAATAATCAGTGTTTTATCACATTCATTCACTGATGGGACACATCAGAAGCAATGAGGGGTTCAGTGTCTTGCCCAGGGACACTTGGGCATGTGACTGCTGGTGGAATTGAACCCCAAACTCTCACACTGAAGGACGACTGCTCTACTCAGTCAGCCACAGCCGTCCAATAGCTCCAATATAGTTCAATTAATTTTTTTATTTATCTTTCTCTAACAAAAACATAAATGCTGAACTGCACTGGATATTCTCTTGTTCGTTACGACTGACACTTCTCTGGTGCACAAGAGACATTACTGTGTGAGCACCAGAATGTGTGTGTGCAAGAAAAACCCTCATGTATTTTGTCCTGATGCATGCTCAATAATCCAGGTAGATAAATCTAACGAGGTTGAGTCAGGTCCTCTGGACGCGTTCTTCTTTGTTCAAACGTTTGTACTTTATCATTTTATTATTTATGTATTTTATTCTTGTGCACACACAAGAAAGTATTGTGTGTGAGCAAGAAACAATTTTGTCACCTACTTCCTTTTAGTGACTCTGTTCGAAGAGATACAAAATGTTTAAAAATAAATCTAAATAAACTGCATCATCAGTGTTTTTTATCTAAATGAATCTCCAAATCTCCTTAAATTACAGGTTTTAACTCAGATGTGTGGGGGTCTTACAAATTACAGTCAGAAAGTAGATTTTGTGTTTTCAGTCTTTTTCATTTTTACATTAAAGTCAATTTGGCAGATTAAAAAACAAAAAAAAGATAAAGTGTTTTGCTAAAGGGTAACGTTATCATTTATTTGTTCAAGAGAGAGCAAGAAGTAAACATAACTCCAAGAGCCCTGCAGCAGGAAGATGATGCAAACTTTATACTTGAACTGATTATTAGTTTTGAAATTAATATAGTTTCACAATTTATGAGAATTTAACAGCAAAATACCGCTTCCTTGCAAAAAAAAAAAAAAAAAAAAGTTTTGTAATATATATATACTCTCGGTTATCAGTAATCTGTTTGATGATAGCATTCTTCTAAAATGACCTTAAATAGGTTTCAGGTCTTACTCTATTAAAACCTTGTGTAAACAAGCAGCTCCTCTGAAGTTGATTTTTTTGAAAGTTGTGGAGTCTGTGCCAATTAGCAGTGAAAAGACTGTAGATTCTGGTGGCTCCATGTCCAATTAACCAACTTCATGCTGCTGTTTTCTTTTGTTTTTCCTCCCTTACATGTTCTCCCTAATTGGACTGTGACAGCCCCTCTGCACCTGAGAAGTACAAACACACAAAGAAATCATCCTTGATGCCACAGTTTGTGTTACCAAAAGCAGTTATGTTGCATTGTGCATGAAAGTGCCAGCTTTTGCTTCTCATTAGCAACTTGTCTGCACATCGGCACTGACTTGGGTGGCTCTAAAATGTCCCTTGTAGCCCAATTACTTTTGCCACTTATGTACCTGCCAAAAAACTTGCCCAAGAAGTCATTCCCGAATACTGCATTGATATTTACTGTGAGCTTCTTGCTGTGGATCAGTTCCAGAAGGCATACTGATGCAGGTCACTGAGCTTCATTAGAGCAAACGCAGCTAATCTCATAAAGCAGCCTTCATAAAAATCTCATCATGCTTTCATTTATAACAGGAAGATTGACACTTTGGGTTTACCTTTAAGCAAACATACAGTATGCTGAATGAGTTTTCAAAGAGGAATTGGAATTAAAGGTGCAGCAAGCACACTGCAGTTAATTGCTAGACAAAAGAGGGAGTTTTTGCAGAGAATTAATCAAAGAAAGCATTTTCTGTGAACAAGCTACACACAGCAATGCTGTTTTTTTTTTTTTTTTAGGATTTGCATTACAAGAAGAGGAGAACACCGTTCCACTCTGTCCTGCTAAGAATCAAACAGCATCAAGAAATATCTTGTCAGAACAGCAGTTTTTTTGCAGGTGTGCTATTTTTGTCAAGCATAAAGGCTGTAAAAAGATGGGCAAAGCTGTCTGTTCAGTGCTGATGATGTGTCTGTGATGAAGAGCAAAGCATTTTATGTTGATTTCAGGTCAAATGAACACAAAACAGGCTTTTCCATGGGTAACAAAACAGACTGACGCATAATTAAAATAAATATGGTATGGTATAAAGTTTATTCATTTTAAAAATACAAAACAGTTTCATAACTACCTGTATATAAAAAAATACAAGAGATTTAAAATGAAAGGCAGCAGAAAGAAGAAAAAATCTTATTATATCTGCCCCTTTTTCAAACAATTAGTTCAATCATAATAATCTTCAAGTAACAGAACAAAATGAATAACTCTTTCTAATTTTTCTAATTCTATATATAGGAGTCACTTGAAAACTTGAGCTAATTCATTCTCAAGTCAATCATGCTCTCCTGTGCTTCAGCTCCGTATAAGCACTTCTATTTGAAGGAGTTTCTTATAAGTTGTGTAAATCTGTTAATGTTGTCCTTAAAACTAAAGAAAGACCGTTGGGTGAAAAGAAAAAAACTATGCAAAAAAATACTTCAAACTAGCTGAATACCTTTGCCTCGTTTAGCGTA